GATGTCGAAGACTTACAGAGCTATTTATTTCGGGGATCTATTTACCGCTACATTATGATTTATCAATACCTCCTTCCTGTTTTGTCGTTAATATTCCTAGGCTCCTACCCGGCGGCATCCGTGAACCTTCGCCACTAGATACGGAGGCCTGTTAAGCAAAATCTTCCAATCCATCCAGAACTATTTAAACTATTCGAATTGGATCGTGACGCGCGCGCTTTATTAACGAGAATTCTATAATTATTTGCATTTCCCAAAGGTTTGCTGTCCTTACGCAACAGAAGTACAAAGTTTGATTCAAAGAATCTGTCCTGAGCTCAATGTTCGGTAGACTACTCTTCTTTTTGAGTTTTATCCAAGTTAATAGTTGTCTGTGGTTTTGCTTCGTCTTAGTAAATCCTGATCTTTTGTACCACCCGTTTTTGTCCATTTTGAGCATACTGTTTTTGCTTTACGGTTGTAGACTTTTTCTAGGATCTATTAAACAATTGGGTGAAACCATAATTTATGGACGACCTTTGGTCGACGTTACAGTGACTTCGAATGTCTACCTAATTATAGTTATAAACCAGTGTGAAGAATTAGAATTATGATTTACAGTTGATAGTCAAAGTTAGGAGCTAGACGTAGGTTTTTCATCACGAACTGACATCAACTATAATGCCAAAACGCTATTCAGCCAAATGGATGAATGAATTTCGTGCCAAAATCTGAGGCTTGTCATCTCATCCGTGATTGGGTCGTCCACAAATTATAGTCTCTTCGGACATGCTGAAGATCATCACCATCGTAAAATCGACGGCACTAGACTCCCTCAGCAAACTTGGGTCTCCCAGCATAGGATCCCTGAATTCGACGGTTGTCCCAAAAACTCTGCAGGTGATTAGAACCCCGTTAACTTAGTTAATAGGGCCCATTTGTCACTGTCCATAAGGCAGAACATCTCAGGTATTGTGCTGGAATCAACTGGTGATATGACCGTGGAGTCTACCCCTAAGACTGTCCATCTAGTCAGGAAGGAGCATATGAATATGAAACGTGCTTTAACTAACAAGCTTATTCGAAAACTTGGAAAACGATCACAATTCGCGTCGATTATCTCATAATCATGTATTGTAAAGACAGCTCTGACCTTCCCTTCAGTCTGAAACACGAAAATGACAGTATGCTTTGGGAAGAGTTAAACAGGAAGCCTCCGACGGTCACATGGCTCACTTTGGGAAAAAACTCCAAGCATCATAAATCACTCAAGACTATTTCGTGTAACGCTCTCTAACGCTGCCGAATTAGAGGATGTCTTACTGGCTAGTCACTTACTGAAATCAAATGGGAATTTAAGAATAATGCCTGAGCGCAATCTCATCAGGAACATTCCTAAGGAATATCGCGAGACGTTTTTTCGCGAGAGATTGTACAAGGAGTGTCAGGAAATAGGAATTCTGCTGTTTGGGAATGGAGATTAATCAAGCAGTCCTTGAAGCTTAAAAACATATTGACTCAACAAGTGGTAAGACTAGAGAAGAGGGACAAGGGTTCTAGACCCTTGATAATGAAGATAACCTTCCCATCCTTCTATATGGCGGCTGCAACTCTTGAAGCACTTCGTGCTTATGCGCCGGTTACCAACTGGAATCCATATGCATCCAGACAAGTCACAAGATGCCAGGATCAAACACAAAAGCAAATTGGAGCTGACTATTCCACTTGTAGACTGTCAAGACCACGAAAAAAAAGTGGAAAGGACAGGAGCTGCCAGCTCGAAAAGCCCTGTGTAGGTAGGTTACCTGCCCATTCATATAAGGCTCATGCAGGTAAACAGGGCGAGGAAGCTCACGCGTTTCAAATTGAGAGCATAAACTGCTTATATATGAACACCGCGAGTTTACTGAGTAAAATGAATGAGCTGCGTGAACTCAGTAATGCCAATGATACTCATCTGATAGGAATATATGAAACATGAATATCTCCTCAATTCACGGTCCAGGAGCTAGTAATACCCAGGATGTTTCCCATTGACAAAAAAAACAGGAGTTGGGGGTGGAGTAGCCTTTTACCTGCAATCTTGCCTGGAGGTGCATCAAGTGCACAACTAAGAGTTTATCAATCTTGATGAATCCGCATGGTGCTCAGAAAAATTGTTTACCACTCAGTGGAACATACGTACATTGGAGGTGCAAACTTTACTGAAGCTCGGTTTTTCAACCTCATTGAAGATCTGGGATTCGAAAATGTGAAGTCGGCAATTCGTTGAAGAAACAGCCAGAGACTGTCACGCTTAGACTGGGTATTTACAAACGAAGAATTCCTAATTGACAACCTCTCAGTCCTGGCTCTTTCGGGGAAAAGCGATCATGCTATCATAGCCTTCAGTTTTATCAACAAAACTGAGCTAAGACATCCTACCGACAACAGGCACTGGAATTTCAAACGGTTGAATGTGTCAGCCTTACAGGACAATTTACAGCAGGTGGGCTGTGAAGTTCACCAACTTGATGTGGATGCTCATTGGGATTTCTTACTGCACACGATCTTATGTGCTACAAAGCAGTCTGTTCCGCAAATGGTCACCAAAATCTACAAGCAACCTACAATCATCAAGAACCGCACTCTTCGTTTTCTAAGCCGCGAAAGGTACTGCTGGGCGGAATACAAACAAACTGGTAACAACAGCGCATACAGGCAATTCAAACAGGTAAGCAATATATGCACAATGGCAATAAAAGAAGACAGATTTCAGTACCAGATAAAGCTTATCGATGAATTTGTCTCCAATTCGAAAAGCTTATTCCGTCATGTATTTGGAACTGGAGTTTCCCAAATGCGAGGTCCTAAAAGCCCGACCACCAAAGACAGTGACGCCACTGACTTTCTGGCAGGACAGTACCCTCAAACATTTCAACCGACCCCCCAACTATATTGATGAAAGCCTCACCAGCAACTCCATAAAACATCCAGAAGTGGACCTGAGCGCTGAATTGGTGGATAAACCGGAACTTCAGAAGGATCTGACTGGACTTCGGGGTCGGCAGATGATAACGGACTTATCGTTGACACTTCAAAGTGTAAAGTAGTCCACCTGAGACATATTGCAGACTACAACTACAACTTAGGCGGTTGCCCTCTTGAGGTATCACAAGTTGGAAAAGATTTAGGAGTACTGGTACCCTACCATTTGAAGTCATACGCCAACTTTGACAAAAATACCTTTCGAGTAAACCTTGCACTAGTAACGTTTAAGCGCATTTTCGGCCAGTTCGACGCAAGAACTTTCCACATAGTCTTCAACGGTTTCATTCGTCCCCATTTAGAGTACGGAAACGTAGTATTTTCTCCCTCACTCCAAAAGTATAAAGACATTCTAGAGCATATCCACGAAATCAGTTCGGGGGCTCAAATTAAGGTCTTATGAAGAGCGCTTCCAATCATTAAACCTTTACCCGTTAGAGTTCAGGCGTCTTACAGGTGACCTAATGGCTCATAGCATCCTTAACGCCTCTAGGCATCCCCTTAAATACCTACCTAAGTTTAACTCCAACACAAACCTAAGGGGTAATACTCAGAAACCGTAGACACAACTCAGCAGAAAGGACTGAAGACACAACTTCTGATTGTGGTCGAGTGGAAGCAGGCTTAACTGAACGCATTGCGTTTGTAAGCCTGTTCGTGTAGGAGGTTAGATCCATGTTCATTGAAAAGGATGAAGGATCCACTAATTCTCCTGGAAGTCGAAATGTCGTTCCATAAACGAGTTGAGCCGCAGTGTATCCAATGTCAGCTTTCACTGCATTGCGAACACCTAGTAAGACGAGTGGAAGAGCGTCGGACCACTTTGAAACGTTTGCAGCTGATAGTGAAGCTTTTAGTTGTCGGTGAAAACGTTCTACCAACCCATTTGCTTGTGGGTGGTAAGCGGTCGTTTAGAAGTGAGTGATTCCTAAAAGTGTGGTCACACAATGGAAAAGTTCAGATTATAACTGACGTCCACGATCTGTAGTGATGGTTGAAGGGCAGCCGAAGTTTGCTACCCATCGTTCAACGAAGGTGCGAGCCACTGTTTCAGCAGTGATCTCCTTGATATGTATTGCTTCTGGCCGGTATACGCGGGTTAAAAGATAACAGTATCCGTTTGAATCTGGTGAAGGTCCTACTAAATCCAAATGAACATGGTCGAAACGAGCATCGGGTGTTTTAAATGAGCCTAAGGGACATTTGATGTCTCTAGCAGCCTTACATTTTTTGGCAGCTTACATAGAACCATGCACACTCCCTCACGTTATAATACATACCAGGCCAGCAAACCGTTCTGCTATAAGCTTGATGGTTGCATAAACACCTGGATGAGAAAGTCCCTTAACTTTGGAGAACGCTTTTCGCACGGTGTCGTCCAGATTGCTGGATTGCGCATTTCCACGGCGTTGGTCCGGTAGCGGTTTCATAAGTGACGCGCATTTCAGTACGAACCGTCTATAAAAACTTACCAGGCCTTTAAATGTGCGTAATTGCTTGATGGTGACTGGTTTTGGGTAACCCAGAATGGCCACCACTTTGGTTGTAAGGGGTCGAACGCCTTGCGCATCTATAGTGTCCTAGGAAGTCTAAAGAGTCTGTTCCGATTTGGCATTTCTGAGTGTTTACGGCATCCCCTTAAATACCTACCTAAGTTTAACTCCAACACAAACCTAAGGGGTAATACTCAGAAACCGTAGACACAACTCAGCAGAAGGGACTGTAGACACATTTTCTGCTCATTAAGAGTAGTCAGATACTAGAATTTGCTGCCGGCTGAGATAGTCCAAGTGACTTACCAGGAGTCCTTTGAGAGGATACTTGACATGTTCTTAAGGACTAAGGATCATATCTTACTGTGATTTACCGATTTCTCTTTCCTCTTTTGTCGTTAATATTCCTAGGTTCCTATCCAGCGTCATCAGTGATCCTTCGCTACTAGATATGGAGGCCCGTTAAGCAAAAGCTTCTATTCCATCCAGAACCATTGGAACGGTATGAAGACGCGTAGTGCAGAAATGGAAGCTCCAAATATTGCTGCGATTGTTAAAGCTCGACATCATGCGCGTGTACTTTGCCCTTCGAGTGGACATTTAGTTGGAAACACACCAAACCAGTTAATTTCTCCTGGAATATATGAATCTGCTGAGAGCGGTTGTAATGTAAACAACTTTTATAGTGCATCTGGAACAAGTGGTCAGACACTATGCGATGATGTAAAGATCTCAGTAGACGATAAACCACACAAAACTCGTTCTGGTTAGTTTTTCGGTGGTTTGCTAACACTTCTTGCATTTAGAAAATGCTCCGAGATTGTTACGCGGAACTTGGTCACCTGATGATAGACGTCTATTTTTCCAGGCCGTGAGAATGGTACGTTAATTGTTTTACACTTCGTCTTCTCGTTTGTCCTGTTTACCATTTTATGTATCATGGTTAATATTTTCGTAACTAATTACTCTTCATGTTTACCTTGAATATTGTGTGATAATATTTTCTATTCGTTCCTTAACATATAGTACGGGCGTAACTTCAGTGAAATCACACGTTTCATTCGGTCTCGTGGACATCGTACATCAATCGATCACCAAACTGGGTCATCAAGTGGCAATATTGAACTAACTTTGAATAGTTTGCACTCTGGAAATAATTTTGTCTCTTCAAACAGTTTATCATCTGCCCTTATCCCATCTAATTTAAGCGCTCCGTGCCCAAGCAACATTACTCAACCTAGTGTTGGAATGAGCACACCCTGTACCGGTAGTTCTGATTTAAATACACCTTGTGGTGGTCGGACTCGTGAACAAGTTCGTTTCTTTTATCAACAAACTTGGCATAAAGTACGTCGTTACACTAAATTTCCCGAAGAGGTCCCACAACATGTTAGGGAAGTTTATGCAATTGTCAATTATTCTGTGCTGCGTACACGCATTAAGAAACGTAAGTAATAAGTTTGTAGCAATAATATGCTTTCGTCTCTTTTTATCTCTACTTACGGTAATGAATAACTTTGGTTTGGATTTAATCATGGTTATGTTTTTTCATTTTCGGTTTTTGTTGCTCTAATAAGTAAGGAATATAGCTCCCTACTGTGTTTAAAAGTGCAAAACAATGAGACATCGATCCGAAAATTGGATAAATCTTAGGGTCATGTTAATAACTTTGAATACATCATCGAATCACAATGTTACAAAACCAATGTAAAGGCCCCGCCCCCAAATGCCCTGGTATGGCCGAGAGTGGGGTGGGCCCGCCCTCCCTCTCGAAATGCTCTCACACGGCTACGCGTATACAGCTTCTGCTAGGGAAGTCCTACTCATTGCCTTCTCGTGGCGGGAGTGTTGTTTACGAAAATGAGAGGACGAAAAGCGAATGTCCGGTCCTTTAACCGGATCCCAAACCAATGGTGCACATGGGCTGGCTCCAGTATCTTGCGGGAACAAATGGCGTATGAACCAATCGTTGATCACCGGCTACCATGGGACTGCATCTCCTTACGATGCTCCACTGTCTTGTGGGTCAGACCCTTAGGTCAGAGGCTCGGGGTGTGGCCCCCTAATAAAACCGCCTGCTTCGGTCTGGGTACCCTGGCAGTATCCCGGCCCTCACACAAATCGAATGATTTGTGTGGCGCATATATATTTGGTGCCTCCTAGTACCAATTTTTATGTGTTTAAATAAATAACAACAAATAATAATATTATATATTAGTTAGTCATTTCAAGTTACACTAAAGTTTGTCGATCAACAAAACGAGTGACATATTATTATGTTTAAAAGAAGGCATATGAAACGCCATAAAGTAAAAACCATGTTCAATATTTAGGGTAAAATAAAAACTGAATGGATTTGTACCGTTATCAGTGGTTAGGACCATATCACTTAACGTCCACAGCCACAATTTATACTATTCATTTGATCCCAATTATAAAGTTGGCGATTCTCATTGTCATTGTTACTTCATTGCTGCGATCCTTTTTAGTTTATCTTGTTACTTTCATCTCGTATTCCTAATGTATTATAGTTACTCGGGCCAACACACAACTCTGACAGCCTCTACGTTGATGACTGACTGATAAATTCAGTAATTCTATATAAAACTTAGGTTTAGTGCTTTAGTTGGATTGTTTTTCTTATCAGCCTTAATATTTCTTATCCTTAACTCCATCTAACAAACAGATTTTAGATAGTTTGCCACTTCATGTGATCATAATTGCTTTAATTAATTTGGTTCTTGGATGTGTGAATTCAGATTTCAGTTTCCTTCTCATCATTTTCCTTCGTTTTAACGTCTCCATTTGCATATCTCTCTGTTTACGTTTACTTAGTTATTACGCTTTCTCTAAAGAAAAGAGCCACGTTTACTCATGATCACTGTCCTCTTAAAAATCTCACAGATTTCTCACTCAAGAATTGGGCTTCTGACTCAGAATAATAATAATAATAATAATAAGCTAAGAGAAAATGAAGTTATTAGTCATTCGCCATCAGCAGAATTCGCCACTTCTAATGTGTTCGTTATTAGTTATCAAGGTGTGTCATAAGTTCACACATTAATTAGGTTAGCTACTATATTAATGGATTATATACAGTGAATCTAATAAACTATTTGATTTTTACAAAATTACAGAATTTTATTTTTGGTCTTTTCAATGAAAGGGGGAATTATTATTTAGATTTGTCGAACTCCTGGCAAACTGGATAATAGGCTAAAGTGGAATAAGGAAAGACGAAAAAGAGAAACCCTACAACAAAAATTAGTCCTACTTATCTAAGAGTTGCTCATAATATTCCAGATGAAACTTTAAATAACCATGGATTAATTTTTAATTTACGTAGAAAGACTCTCAATGTTATAGAAGTCGCTCCAACTACAAAACCATTCTCGAACAACTACATGGAAAGCGGCTCATCTGGGGTATTTAAAAAACCTTGCATTTCCGCAAAAATGCCTTCCTTAAGATTTTTCGAAAGAGGAATTAAGAACCCTACGTTCTTTACGAAAGGACATTTTCATCCATTTGTTTAAAAGTAAATGTTAGTGCAAAGGGGTGTTATGTCTGGTCGTCGGTAATTGTTATGTCGGAATCGCATATTACTCATACTTGTAAAGCGAGAAACTCTGCATTTTTTTCACAACGCAAAGTAGGAATATCAAGATTGGATATTTATTAACCCCAAAACACGACTAATGTAGTCTAAAATACACTAATTTATATATTGATTGTACACCGTTTTGATCATTCATTAAGATAAAATCACATTTATGAAAAATACCCATTTAAAACAAATCACATGCTACGTGTCTTGCTGAACATATTTCATATTAATTCAACACAAGAATATCATTTAATTGTTGAATTCATGAGTCGATTAAAGCTAGACTACCATAGAAAACCTGGAAGCAGTGAACGGCCGTTTCTTCTTAGTATGGGATTCCTCAACAGTGCGCACCCACGATCCCGCACGCGAGAGTTGATCCCAGGACATTCGGTCTGACGTGCGAATGCTTAACCCCTAGACCACTGGGCGGACATCCAACGGTGCTAATCTCTAACTTCAACAAATACACGATTATCATATTTTGGATAAACGGCACACTGAAATAAATTAATGTTTTACCGAATGAAGTATCACACTGGAAAACAAAATAAATACTACGCTTAGTAATCATTACACTGAATTGAAACGGAAGCAATGTCGGACAGAAATCAGAATGAGTATGTTATATCCCTGTTTTCTTACGGTTAATGACCCAGCTATTCCTATTGCTTAGTATTCTCGGACACCGATTCACTCGACAAGTCCCCAAATCAGAACACGGTTGAACAAGAAAGAGATTATATTCCAAATAGCAAGTCAGAAGCCAGTAGGAAGCACAATAGGGGAAAACGTCGGTATATTTATAGTTTTTACATAAGAAGATTCCAGAGTATTCTCCGACTATCGGCTAGTGCTGATTGGATAAGAATCAGACAATCAGCGTGCACCAAAACAATCATGCATTGAGCATGCTTTAATCTAGTCTATGTCCCGCTAACAGAGTAAGTGAGTGTAATTTTGTTTTTAATCCCGTCATATCAAGAGGTATCAAAATAAATATACGCCACATAATAAAAAAGTGAAATTTTAAAGATACAGGAGGAGGGAAGTGAATGGGATAGAAAAAGTTAATGAAAGTATGTGAATGAGATTAAGAAAACAAAAAAGCAGTAGTTCTGTTGAAAAATAGGGCAAAGAAGAACTTTTCAATTTAGTGAAGTTTATGTATAAGAAAAGTATAGTGATACCACCACTGAACCATGTCTGATAGCGTCTCAAGCCACTGTGTTGCACTATTTTTAGGACCTCAACCAAAAACTCATGAAAGATCGTCAGAAGCCAGCCCTGCTCATAATTCTTTCATACCCCGACACCATGTCAAATACTAATCACCTCTCTAGATATTATTATTATCGGCAAACAATTCATGGTGTGCAATTCTCTTGGGTGACATTCGTATCATATATCCAAGCGACCAGTCAGTATTTCAAGAATGTGACACCAACCGAGTTATCTTCACTGCCCAAACACACGTTACCGAACCTCCATATTGGTAAGATGGTGTTGACTCTGAATCTCAGCAATCCTCGGGCGACAACGATGATGGAACTCGGAGAGTAGCCTAACATCTCAACTCAGGAAGGCCAGGTTTTACAAGTACGGAGCAAAACCACTCTCACTGACGTGTCATAAACTGGAATAATAGCACAACAATACCAAAGACGATCCACTCTAGCTATTACTGTGCATAAATTGGTTTTATTGGTCACGCCACCATCACCACTACCAGCACTTATAAACCTTCCTAAATACACAAACTTTCCTACTACTTCTAGCTACTTACTATTAAGGGTGCGTTTAGGCGCAGGTTCCTTCCATTCTTGTAAAAGTGCATTGGATTTAGAAGATGAAAAGTACGTGCCAACTTGTTGAGTACGAATCGGATAACTTCTGTACCATCGTACAATAGGACTGTCATTCCCATACTCAAGATCGACATGTCTTTCTTCAGGTTACAGGTTCAGATTAGGAATGATAAGACTGGGTGACTCTTTGCAACCCATTTATTTTTATATTATTTGAACACATAAATATTGGTACAAGAGGGCACCAAATATATATGCGCCACACTGAATGACGTAAAAAAATAATAATGTGAATAGTTTGATTGTTAATCGAAGCAATACAAGTATTCTCCATGAGTATCGACATTTAATCATATGTGTGTGTGGGTTGTGATACTGCCAGGGTGCCCAGACCGAAGCAGGCGGTTTTATTAGGGGGCCACACCCCGAGCCTCTGACCTAAGGGTCTGACCCACAAGACAGTGGAGCATCGTAAGGAGATGCAGTCCCATGGTAGCCGGTGATCAACGATTGGTTCATACGCCATTTGTTCCCGCAAGATACTGGAGCCAGCCCATGTGCACCATTGGTTTGGGATCCGGTTAAAGGACCGGACATTCGCTTTTCGTCCTCTCATTTTCGTAAACAACACTCCCGCCACGAGAAGGCAATGAGTAGGACTTCCTTGGCAGAGGCTGTATACGCGTGGTCATGTGAGAGTATTTCGAGAGGGAGGGCGGGCCCACCCCACTCTCGGCCATACCAGGGCATTTACTTAAAGGGAACGATGTAGAGAGGGGTCTGCATGCCCTCATTCTGCCTGGGGTGTTTTTCTAGAGACTCCAACTTGTTAATAAGCTTCCCAGGCACAGTCTTGTTCAGTAGACAGTCCCGGAGCACAGTAGTGTCCAACTGATCAAAGAAACTAGTGATTTGTGGTTCTTTGGGAGTTGGAGCTTCCTACAGACTTTCACCTCGTTGGATAGATCAGTTATCAAGTTTCTCAGTCCTGTTTAGGCAAGAATCTACATTGACCACTAAACTTGCAGCTGCCCAGAGCAAACTGACGTAACTTTGTAAAAACCCATCACTTATAATTGGGACGTTTCGTAAACCTCAAGCGAATTTACTTTCCGTTCCCATGATATGGTAATGCACCCAGTTGTCATCTGTACTTTTCAACATTTTGACGGTTAGTCATTAACCCATTTTGGTGTGATATTTGGCTGCAACGGAAGTTGCAGTCAATTTGTTGATATCAATGAGTTTAGGACGACAAATGTGTTGGACACTTAAACGTAGGACAAGATTGACGTAAACAAAGGGGCTTGGTCAGAATCTAGACAGAAACTTTAAGAGTAATGATAATGCTGTATACAACTACAACGGTAGCTAGTGGTGATGTGGTCAATCTAAGTCCAAGCTTGAGTTCCAGAGGGTAGGCGTCAGTTAGTACTTCGGCAATGATTATGCCTTAGTTGGGATCAGCCATAAACAAGTTATAATCTACTCAAGGCTGCAGTTTACTGAGCAATAGTAGTTACCAAAGCTGATAAATATAGTATAACAGTATCGTCATCAACAAATAGGTTGACATATTTGTCATCATTAAAAATACCTTTTAAAAATTCCCTAAACCGATAATTACTTCCCCACATCACGTTGAATTTACTTTCTAAAGGGAAAATGAACCTAGCGAACTATCGTTTTTAAACCGTCTGATTAAAAAGGATTCTAATATGAGTGCAGATTTACCCGTCTTCTGAAAACCAACACATTGAAACTGGTACAATGAATTCAACTATATTCATCCATTTAGTGCAAATTTTTTCTGAATCTGAATTTACTCAGAAGAGCTACCAAACGCAGAATAAAGAAATAGAACTGTCTCATAATCTAATAATTTTCCTGTGAATATTATTAAAACTATACTAAAACGAAAAGATCTGTTATTGAATTATAATAATATGTTAATCGGACTATTATGATTTGGTACTTTAGTTTCACTATACCACGGTACAACAAAAAATTCGACAGACCTTTAAATTACACAGAATTGGAGCGTTTTATGAAACAACTAAGACTTTGAATTTATTTATTTCTAATAAAGGAAGAGATCCTTTTTAACGCCTCACCAGAATTATGCCTACAGATTAGGTTGTGTCAGTTGTGATGTCTTGTATATTAGAGTGTTCTCGCGAAATCCTGACTCCTGCCAATCATGTATAACTGAAAGATCTTCAAATCAAGCCAGCAGTTGAAGTACATACCATTTGCAACAACCATCAAATCGGTATCAAAGTATTAAATGGATTCAAAAGGTTTCTCCAACTATGAATAAAGGCAAGTAGCTGAAGCTTTTCATATAGTTGTAAACTCTGCTCTCTGATGAGTCGACTGTTCATCCAACTTGAACCGTTTATTCAAACAACCACATTTAATTCCATTTAGACTATTAACACATAAGTTTAACTATTTTTTCCACATTAAAAATTTCACATTCTTCACATCTACTAGAATACACTTAAATACACGAGTTTATTTCACACAGTATCACTTGAACCGAAATAATTTGATATTACTGTAATCAGATCTGTTTTCGATCATACTTTATATTCCGTTTCATTCCTGCGTACTATTTAAACTTGCTAATTTAATTTGTTTATTTTTAATCACTTCTTGGCAGAAGCAACTTACATTAAGTTGCTTTTCCATTCTCTCCCTCTAACAATACCAGGTTCATTTTCACCCCAGTTTCTAATTTTTTTTCCATTTGTCATTTTAGCATTGGACCACCGATTGGGAGAAAAATTAAACGAATTGGTTCATTGTGGGTGTGTGATTTTTGCTCACTGCTTTGTAATAAAAAACAATTTGTTTGTATTATTTTGAACTTAGCTTATTTTTATCCACAGCTGGTGTGGCGTAATCTCACAGTTCCTTACCTTGTCATCTGTTGAATGAGATATCCTGTCTGAATTTAAGATTAAATAATATATCCTCCTTACAAATATATGAGCTTTATTAGTGTATTTAAATGATTTGTTATCTATCCTTTTCTGTCGTTCTTACCTTCACATTAAAAAAATGTGGTTTAATTTGGTCCAGATGTCTGAGCCTGGTCCACGTGAGGTTCACTTGAGATATTCAGGTGCTACTTATTTCCTGAAATTCGTTGAGACTACGTTCGAATTATCTCCGGTAGTAAAACAGAAAGGTCATCATAGAGATGGTTTCCAGAACAACGCTACATAGCAAGTTGTTGTATCTGTTGATTGAGATAATATGATTAAGGTATCACAAATCTCCCAAACACGATAGACTGTAGCCTCAGTTACAAAGTCAAGCTTTGAAAAGAATATCCTCTCTCGCGAAGATGTTATTTGGAATCCAGCTCGGGAATTTGATTTTAGTGAAAAACTGAAGTGGCATTTGCAGTGCTTTTCATTAAATTAGATTCAGTTGGAACCATTTTAGCCGCAAGTTTAGCGGACTTACAACTGTTGTTTTCTTTTGTATAACTAATTCTTGAAACATGCTATCGAGAAAGATGGTGTCTACGACTCAGCGTGGCTCTGTCGAGTGGCAACCTGAACACATTCTAGCAAAAGATCAACTTTTGCTCTTATGAATTCTTCTAAAAGAATAGATCAACCTATTAGGAATTCATAAATTTTGGACATCAGTAAACGTTCCAAATTTAGATGTTATAAAAACCCACTAATTATTGTTTGGGCATAACACTATCCTAACTGGTGTATTTATATGAGGTTTGCTTAAAAAATATTTAATCCATCTTAAATTTGGACCTCAGTAATACCACAATTTCAAAATGGTTAATGTGCTTTGTTTTAAGGCCAATGTGAAATTATACCTTACTAGAACGTTCTCAGCAGTGCTTATCAATAAACGGATATTGCTGAAGGCCTTGTATGTGAATTCGTTTGGTTGCTTGAACTTGTGGTAAGATGTTACTTGAATCTATACAAATTTTGACTGCTGTTTTTCATTTTTATCATATTTCCTGTGTGTTATTATTTCTGACTTATTTTGAAATAGAGAAAGATTTCAGTCGATTTATTACAAACATGATATAGTTTTATCATTTTGATGCTCTTAATAAGACGAATAAGTTTTCCGTGTATGAGTACTTTGGCTTTACTTTTTTTGGTATGAAATATGGTGTCTGATTCTGTTCACTACTTGATGGTTGAAACTTGATCGTTTTTGATAAACTATTCTTGTTAGTTTTTCATAAATAAGTAGACCTTGAATATAAGTCATTACGCTCACCACTTGTAAGGATCTTGGCAACACTTCATTCTATTATTTTTATTACATTATTTTGTTTAATTTGTGAGTGGTTGGTTTAGTCTTTGTAAGTATGGAATTGTGTACTCTAATATTTATATTGTTTATCGCAAGAAGTTATTCGTAAGTTTAAACGCGTAGTAAGGAGACAATGAATTTAAATAATAATACTTGTACTTATTGTAAATATTTATATTTCTCCAATAAATAGTATTTTTCGTCTTTTCATTTGTTTCTTTGTTTCAGTACCACTGTAATCAAACACAATGGGCGGCGTTTTTTGTTACGTACTCCTGTTTGTCCTGCTTTGAAGCAATTGAATAACATCTCTGGTATGGTGGTACTTCATAATTATACATACATAAGATTTTTAATTTAATAGACCTGTAATTATTATAAAGCATTTTTATGGCATCTTTGTTCCTAGCTTTTTTATTATATTTGAGTGTTTCAGGCTAACTACGCTTCTTATTTTATCTGAATGGACAACACGGTAATTCATGATCCTATTTGATTTGACTCAGATTAATATTTGTGTTCTTGGTGCTTAGTTCTGGATTTACTGCAAGTCGTAGCATTGATTTCAGCTAACTGATTACGTCATGACAAAGCCACACTTCATCAAATTGATTGTTAGGAAGTGATATAGTCAGAAGCAATAAATATTTGTCTCTAAAGCAAAGTTGTACGACTGATTATATAGCGACGTGACCATCAACTATCATTTAAGCTATTCTGAGTTCTCTCAGACAAGAGTGATCAGAAAAAAATTATCCTTAACAATTTCATAGCTCTCTACAAATTTCCTTTTTGAGCCATAAGAATTAAAAAGTAAGGAGCTAACCGAAGGTTCATTACTTATATATAACTCATGTGTTACTTGCGTTTTTCCAGCCCATACACATTGGGCAGAATTCAAAGTCAATTAATTCACTAATCTGCTCCGTATCACTCTTGAATGTAGAAAAAATATATGTGTTACGTGTATTCAATAAAAATTGTCTTTTAAATGTTGCTATTTCATGGTAAGATTCCAAGTAAGTGATATTAAGATGAAGTTCAGATTACTATATCCAGATAGTGGATTGGTTTACTCTGTTGTGGATGTTCACTGACCGGTATTTTCGGATATGGGTTACGCGCGCTCTTCTTGATTTATCGGTTTTTAATTCCCCGTCTTTAATAGCTCATGTATTTTTATTTTAAATAACATTGCCATCTATAGAACATTAGGTTTGATATTTAGGTACTTAGTCCTGTAGAGGATTCATTTAACAAATACTTTTAAAATTTTTCAACTAAAATAATGCAGTTCTCATTCAAATCAAATTTTAGCACCTACACATGAATTCCTACTTCCTGAAGATGTATGGATTGAATTAGTTCCACGGACACAAACAGATGCATGGAGAGTAATAGAGGCAGAGCAAAATCCCCGTTTAAGACTACGCGTTGATATTAATCGTCAACTTTCAGATGTTATTTTTCTAGTGGAAAACAAATGGCAATTGGCTGCTGAGCGTATGGTAGATATTATGTAGCAAATTATAATGGTTGTTCTTTGTCAAGTGCTAATTTATTTTAACCATATACTTTAGATGTATACCTTCACAGACTATAATCAAAGTTCGTACAAACTATGGTGATCATGAAATATTCCATCCACAAGATAATAATTGTAAACATGATTTTGGATGATTAATACTCATCTGATTGAACTTTTAGTTTAGTTTGCAATATAAATATTGAGTTTTAGAACCATTGTAAACTGATTAATGTGGATTACAAAATAATTGTACTTCTACAATTCTGAGATGTTTTAATGAGATGTGTTTTTTTGTAATGGGCAATTCTGGTGCTTTATTTGAGCTACTTATAAGTAGTGAAACGACCTATTGAAGAGTTCAACACAAAAACTTTTGCGTTATCGATAAACGTCAGCGGGTCACATAGAAGTACTCTGTACTGATTGACGCTAAGTCTTACCTTAAGAGTATAAATTTCAAAGACATTTTATATATTTCATGATAATTAATAAGATTTAGTCGCCTATGTCAACACCTGAACTTAGGATAGGGAGTGAAGTAGTCGAACGCGTTGACAACTTCACTTACCTTGAAAGTCTGATCAGTCCTAATGAGTTGGTGTCTGACGAAATCTCAGCACGGATTCGAAAAGCTCGCTTGGCTTTTGCCAACTTACGTCACCTATGGCGAAGACGAGATATTCGTCTATCAACAAAGGACGAGTATACTGCGCGGCAGTCCGTTCTGTTTTAATTTACGGTAGCGAAACATGGCCATTAATAGTGGAATACACTCATAAGCTACTAGTATTTGGCCACAGATGCCTTAGAAATATTGCTGGGATCACCGGGTAAGTAATAGTGAGGTTAGAGGCAGGATATTAGGGAATGATGGTAAATCAATTGATGAGGTTGTGAATCTTCATCGACTGAGATAGTTGGGCCACGTGTTACGTATGTCTGAACACCGATTACCACGAAGTGCAATGCTAACCGGTGTTGGAGATGGTTGGAAGAAAGTTAGGGGCGGCCAAACCAAAACGTGGCATCAGTGCTTGAAGTCACTAAATTCTAATCTGATCCATGTTGGTAGATGCAGACTACTTGGTTGGGGTCCGCGTGACTTTCGTAACCAATTGTTGGAGGCTCTTTGTGACATGGCTCAGAATCGATCACTATGGCGTAGGTGTATACACTCCCTGTCTTCCCTTAAACAGTGAGATTCAAATTGCTTTATACATTTATTTCTACGAACTAACACATTCTTCCTGTATTATATCCTTATACACAATATTTCGTTTATATATTACTCAGCTCAGCTACAACGTAGGGCCAGAAACATATATACAACGGTCCAAGTTGCCATACCTCATTAGCAGAACAAGATGAACGCCGAATTCATAGAAGTAGTTAATTCAATGTTGGTAATATAACAAAAAAATATTGCATATAAGGATATAGTACAGGAAGAAAGAATTAGATGGTAGAAATATCGATATAATGCAACTGTTTTTTTGAATTTGATGTTCATTTTGTTCTGCTTATGTGGTGTGGTGACTTGGACTGATGCATATTTGTGCCTGGTCCTACGTTGTGACTGACTGACTTAGTCGCGAAAGATAATTTAGAGCCTCAGTTGAAAATCGTTGATCCTATATTGACTGTCGAGTATCACCTTCAATTTTGTGTAGCTAACAATCTTACCATTTAAAATTCTCATTCGTTTATTCAACCATGAATTCGTATTGACCTTAACGTGATTATTTACCAATAATATAATAAAATCCCTTATTTCATGCAGTACGTTGTCACAATTGGTGCGTTTACAAACACTAAAGCGTGGTTTGAATCCAGACATAATATTAGAAGGTAGAGTATATATATATACATACTCTACCTTCTAATATTGTCTGGATTCAAACCACGCTTTAGTGTTTGTAAACGCACCAATTGTGACAACGTACTGCGTGAAATAAGGGATTTTAAAACATGGAATTCTTTCTTTGTTGGATGTAAAAGTTCGGTGATTGTATTTACCCCTTTTAGAGAACACTTCTTGGCTTCCCAGCCGTCCACGAATCCACAGTCCCATCGGTTATGCTCAACTTATGCTATAGTCAAGCTATCGATGGTGCCATTCGCATACAAGAAGTGGCGCGAATTCGTTCAGGAGACATTGGATTACGTGCTTATTTAGATCGAATGGATACCAAACTCCATAAATCTAGGATGCAGTCAAATGTATGCCCCACAGGTATATTCTAAAGTAACTAAACTGTGTATCATCTTTTTTCTTAGAATTTTAACTTTTTATTTATCAAGCCTACTGTGAAATTTCAAAGGTTATTCCACTCAAATATTATTAGATTATGAATGGCTAGTGAAATATATGTTTCTTTTAAAGGAATGTGTTAAATCATACAAACTGTTGTTATATATCACTGACATAGACTAGATATGACTTCAACTTGACTTTGCTTTGTAACTTCATAGTTTTTCAGGTGTTTTTAGGAGAAAGATAACGTATACAGAATCTTGTAATATACACTGTCTGAGAAAGCTATTGGAAAACTAGACTGTACACCATTTTTGAAAAGTCAGTCAGTCAGCTACAACGTAGGACCAGGCACATATGCATCGGTCCAAGTTGCCATACCTCATTAGCACAGCAAGATGAACACCGGACTCATAGGATTGGTTAGGTCAAAGGTGGTAATATATAGGAGAAAGATTGCATATAAGAATATAGTATAGGAAGAAAGAATTAGTTAGTAGAAAGAAAGATATGAAGTGATTTTAATCTCTTAGTTTAAGGGAAGACAGGGAGTGTATACACCTACGCCATAGTGATCGATTCTGAGCCATGTCACAAAGAGCCTCCAACAATTGGTTACGAAAGTCACGCGGACCCCAACCAAGTAGTCTGCATCTACCAACATGGATCAGATTAGAATTTAGTGACTTCAAGCACTGATGCCACGTTTTGGTTTGGCCGCCCCTAACTTTCTTCCAACCATCTCCAACACCGGTTAGCATTGCACTTCGTGGTAATCGGTGTTCAGACATACGTAACACGTGGCCCAACTATCTCAGTCGATGAAGATTCACAACCTCATCAATTGATTTACCATCATTCCCTAATATCCTGCCTCTAACCTCACTATTACTTACCCGGTGATCCCAGCAATATTTCTAAGGCATCTGTGGCCAAATACTAGTAGCTTATGAGTGTATTCCACTATTAATGGCCATGTTTCGCTACCGTAAATTAAAACAGAACGGACTGCCGCGCAGTATACTCGTCCTTTGTTGATAGACGAATATCTCGTCTTCGCCATAGGTGACGTAAGTTGGCAAAAGCCAAGCGAGCTTTTCGAATCCGTGCTGAGATTTCGTCAGACACCAACTCATTAGGACTGATCAGACTTTCAAGGTAAGTGAAGTTGTCAACGCGTTCGACTACTTCACTCCCTATCCTTAGTTCATGAATTGATGCAGACCAGTCCTGAAGCAGCAGCTTGCATTTAGAGGGAGAGAAGCGCATTCCGAACATTCTGGCATTGTTGCTTAGTGCTACCAAAAAACTGTATTTTATCAGCGTCTCCACCAAACCGGACTATATCATCGTATTCTAAGTCGATAAGTGGACCTCCTGGAAGGAGATCAATACCCAAGAATTCAGTAGACGTGAATGTTATTTCCATCAGTAGGTCTATGATGAAGTTAAACAAAAATGGGAGAAAGTGGACAGCCTTGACGGACACCACTTGAGGTTGCAAAAGCAGATGACAGTTCGCCATAAGCTGTGATTCGCTTGGTAGTGTTCGGGTAAAGAGCTTTCACAAGGTTTCTGTACTTCTGAGGTACGCCTTTCAATGACAGACTCTGCCACAGAATCTCGCGGTCTACCGAGTCAAATGCTGCTTTCAAGTCGAGAAAGACCACCATTGTCGGACGCCGATAAGTATGCCTATGTTCTAGAACCTGACGAATGGTGAATATGTGGTCGATGCAGCCACGACCAGGTCTGAAGCCAGCTTGGTTCTCTCGTGTTTGCAGTTCACGAGTCTTAGTTAGGCGTCTGATAATTATCGAGGCTAGTATTTTAGATAGTATATTAGTTAAACTAATCCCTCTACGGTTGTCAAAGTATGATTTTAACCCTTTCTTATATATTGGGACGATAAGTGATTGTGACCAGTTAGATGGGATAACGTCTAACTCCCAGATCTTAGCTAAAATATTAGTCAACCTAATCGCTAAACTTGGACCACCATCCTTAAAGACCTCTGGAGCCAATCCATCTGGACCAGCTGCCCTTCCTCGTTTCAGATTAACTATAGCCTTTCGAACTTCTGCTAGAGTTGGAGGACCTACTTCAATGTTCCATTCACACTGTCTGAGAATGGAGGGTAGTTGTAGAGTCGCTGAAGGTCAGCTGAACTGTTCTCTGAAATGTTTCACCCATCGTTCTAAACGTCTGGACTGGGAGCAGATGAGAGTGTCGTCTTTTTCCGAAATAGTCTGATTTGTTGTTGCTCTTCATCATGTTCGGAACCTGATGGGATGAGTTTACGAGAATCTATCAGTGCAATAGACCTTGAAAAAATCCATTGGTTCTTTGTAACCCTGTGGTTTAAATCACTGATAAATGTCACTGCTGTTTCCACAGCTGTTTGTATATCTTTCCAAACAACATCTGGGTCAGCCTCGTTTTCAGAACTACCTAAGTGTGACCTCAGTTGTTCGTGGAACCTACTTTTGGTTTTCTCGTTACTCAAATCAGTTGTAATGGGTCTTTTTAATGTGGCTTTTTTGCGTCCAATGAGGCGCAAGCAGATGCGTGCCCGTATTAGGGCATGGTAGGAGTCCAAGCAGGTACTCCTGAATGAGCGACAATCTTCTACCGACCCTCTCCAACGATGACTGATGGCAATATGGTCTATTTGTTAGACGATGTCTCTCCTTATGCTTAAAATCTGTGCTGCTAAAAATAAACGATTGTCTGAGCGTAGTTGCAGCAGACGATCACCATTATCTGTTCGTTGTGCCGGAATACTAAAATATCCACCTAAATGCCTTTCTGTTCGGTTTAAACTACCTATCTTGGCATTGAAGTTACCTGCTTCGAGTACTATGTCTGAAGGTTTAGCTTTCTGAAGAAATTCAGATAGCTTTCTGTAAAATTCATCTTTCACTTCATCTGAGCTGCAGTCGGTGGGAACGTAGGCAGAAACGACAAAAAGGCAACGACGTGTGTCCCTATCCTCCCCAGTTCTTACGGAGCCGTTTAGCCGAACAGCACATAAACAACTGTTAATGGGGATCCACTTTAACAGTGCTTGTTCCGCCCTCATGCTTAGTGCTATGCCTACTCCTGCCAGTTCACGAGAGCTGGCCGTCAGGGCACCAGATACACGGAGGGTGTCTCATTTGCTCTCCGTTTTGCCGAGTTGAGGTCAAGTGAATGACCACACTGGGATCCTGTATGCGTGCTTCAGAGACACAGCATACATCAATGGTACGAGATTCTAGGGTTCTAGCCAAGGAAGCCAGCTGACCGATTTGACATAGAGTGCGTACGCTGAAGGCTCCAATGTGTAGTTTGGAGCGAGGTTTCAGTAGACCTGAGACAGTGTTTTGAGCACTAGAATCGTTGGTTATGGTGACACTTGAGGAGGAAGCCAAAAGAGGAAGTTCAGTGTTGAAAGTCGATGTAGGAGAAATAATAGGAATTGAAGAGGGAGGTTGATTATGAATACATTGGTCTTGAGTGCTGTTAGAGGTATGAGGGCGGTTATCACTTCCCGGTTGCCCACACCGTGGAAGGGTTGTTCTGGAGGTACCTGAAAAGGAAATTGGATTAGAGGTGGCCTTAGTGACCTGGGAGCGTGACCGCTGTACCCAAGGGACAACTGCTTGAGGTCGGTCACACACGACCTTGTTATGGGTAATTTTTGTGTTAGCTCCGTACTTGTTGAGACCTTACCGCCGGAGACGGATATCCGTGAGATAATGCGGGGTGTGCATTTTTAGGGTTGACCTTTTCTAACCCCACCCATCCTTGTGGGAAGGCAGCATCGCTGTCATGCTGCTGGTTGTCTGAAGGAAACACCTTACTGCTGTCACACCTCTGTACAGTCAGCAGTACGACTTCGCCTTTGGACCTTAGGTTTGTTGCTTTTTTTTCTTACCGATCTTCAACCGACCTGTCTGACATGGTAGGACCTTGAGGAACGGTTGTTCCAGCCAGTATAGCTCGGTTGCTTCATCACGATAGGCAAGCCCGACCACCACGTTAAGGTGGCGACAACGGTCGGGATTTCTGAAAAGTAATTCATTTAACTTGTAGATGACAATCATCCGTTTATTTTTGAACTACAAAAAGCTGACATAAATTAATCAAATTTGACCCTAATTTTAATAGTATATGACATTTAAAGTGTGTAAAGTTTGTAGGATCTAGTTGATTACTTTCAAAGACCTTCCTTGAATTTGGCTAATAAATCTATCATGTGTAGTAGTGTTTGAGCGTGATTAATGGACCGAATGTATTGCTTTAAACTTTAATCAAAAATTGATTAACATTTTTATAAACTACGTACGTATTTAGTAAAATGAATATTTCTTATAAAACAATAAAACACCGAAAGAATATTGTTTCTCAATTATCAATAGTTTGTTCTTGAAGACATGAATAATTTAGCTGAAATTAAGTATTATGAGACCAAATTATGTATTGATTTTCATATTCACTCAACAATTCATTCAATCATTTCATTCTGACAGTTGAACAAGGTATTGAAAAGAAGTGGAATATTTTGATTTGCATAAATCAGTCACACTTTTAAAAAAAAACTTAACAAAATTAATTCATTCACAACGTAAATGTGATTGAGATATGTACTAATTAAATTCACGGTGATAAGGGTGGTTTTAAAATTAGTTTTTCAAAGAAAATCAGTTAGGATTCGTCAGGTCTAGATTTTGTGTTTCAGGGTATTAGTTTTTTTAATTTATGTAACAAAAAGTTAAAATATAATGCTTTCATGGAAATTAAATTTTATTGCTCCTAGGCACGTTAAATAGTCTCAAAAGATTTTATGAAACCAGAAAATTGAAATGAATCAGTTGTAGTAATATGGTGTACACGGATTATCAAATAACGTCAACATAATCTTTAATTAAAGCTGAATCTCTAGCTTCATTTGATTTTTTCCAAGGTCATCATAAATGTTTGTACAGCGGTAGTTT